TTATGTGTCAAGATTGTAGAGTTTGTATGCTTTTTGGTTACTAGGATAGCCAAGAAATATGCATTTTGAGGCACGGGGAAGAATTTATCTTGATGAGCTCGGAGGGTTTGGACGTAACATAGACAAACAAACATAATAAGGTGATTATAGTTTGGAATGGTGTTGAAGAGATGTTCGAAAAGAGATTTATTTTGAAAAATACGACTTGGTGTATGGTTAATGAGATATGTCGCAGTGAGTACACATGCTCCCCAAAATTTTAGGGGTAAACGTGCTTGAAAGCGAAGGCTACGAGCAATATTCAGGAGGTGCCTGTGTTTTCGCTCTACAATTCCATTTTGTTGTGGAGTTTCAACACAGGTACATTCATGAATAATGTCGTGATTATGAATATAGGTTTGAAATTTTTGTGAAAGAAATTCTTGTCCATTATCAGTGCAAATTTTTTTGACATTGGTATTAAACTGATTTTGGACTAGGGCAAAGAAATGCATGAGATTTGTATATGCCTCAAATTTATAACGCACAAGAAAGATCCAAGTGGTGCGTGAAAAATCATCAACTATAGTGAGAAAATAATAAGAATCGCAAACGGAAGGAGTATGATAGCCACCCCAAAGAAAGCAAAAGAACTTTTATTATCATTAGAGGAAAAAGGCAAACGTATGTGCTTAAAACGAGCACAAATATCACAATTCGAAACAACAAGCGAATTAGTAAATAACTGGGGAATAACAAGATAGGAAGGATGACCTAGACATTGGTACCATAAGTCTTTATTAGCAGTGGATTGCACGAGAGCCAGAACATTTTTGGGCCGGTACACATAGAGCCCCATTGCAAAAATCACCCGTTCCAATCAACTTCGTCGACTGTGGGTCCTGAAATAAGAAATTTTTAGAGGAAAAAGAAAAAAAATATAATTTATGTTAGTGTTAAGCTGAAGGACAGAGAAGATATTAAAATGGAAGTCAGGGATAAAATAAACATTTAAAAGTGTAAGGGATGAGGATAGTCTGCAATTGTCGATACCCTTAATAGAGAGGGTATGGCCATTCGGCAATCTCACCGAGAGAGAAGAAGGTGCGGATTTCAAATTGGAGAACGCACACAGATCGTGGCACATGTGGGTGCTAGCGCCACTGTCCATGACCCAGTCGTGGTGGTTATCGAATGAGGAGAAAGAAGAAGTGGCGTTACCGACAAAATTGAAGGGAGTGGGTGTCGGGGTAAGCAAGTCCAGCAATTTTTGGTAGAGCTTTGGTGTTAATCCTAGTATCGGCGACAAGTTTGAGGAGAAGGAAGCATGATTTGCTACCAGAGATAATCCAGGCAGTGGTTTGTCGAGAAGGGAGGGGCTAGCCTTGGAACGTTGATCATGACTAGGTGGGTATCTGATAATCCTCCGCATCACTAAGGTTGCTTATTGTGTTGCCAGAGTTGGTTGCTGCGAAGGCCATGGATTCCATCAAAAGTGGTCGGATGTGAAGGAAGCGTTGCTGCTCTTCCTGAAATAAGATAGGAAAAACCTTTGTGGTGGGGGGAAGGGAATCTATAGCTAGGATTTGGGTTCTGAGTTGGGCAAAGGACTCATTTAGGCTAAGAAGAAATTAGAAGATGTGTTCATCGTCTGCTTCTTTTTGCAAATCCTTGAGGTCATTGTTGTTTTGAAGATGGCTTAATTCCTAAAATCAATGACTATTCATAAAATTATGGTGATGATTCCTTGGTTGATTTTGTGCAATTTGGAATCCTATTAATGAGGTAATTTGGTTGTGTCAATATCTTCTTACATATATCAAGCATCCAATACATCTCATATCTCCTTTGCAGTTTCTTGCTCCGATGTTGATCAAAGAGTATCTAACATTGCATTGCAAATGTGCACTTTAAAATGCAGTCATCTTAATCTAGTCTTGTAATCCATTATGTAATGGAATACAAATTTTGTGTTGATTTTCTTAGCCATTAGCATCCTAGATCAGGCACTAACATACTTGGATATAGCATATCGTTGAACAAAGTTGTAGACAATTTGTACCACTTTGTAATAATACACAACATCGCGCGAATCTTATCACAAATTGAGGCCCTGTTTGGGAGGGATTAAATTTTTCTACAGTAAATCAATTCTTATTTTCAACCACACATTCTTCAATAAAATAATATTTTCCATCACATCAATAATTTTTTCTTCTTTTTCAACCACACATTTCCCATCATATCACTATTCAAAATCAATTCTTCCATCAAANATTTCCCATCATATCACTATTCAAAATTAATTTTTCTCCCAAAAATCTCTCCCAAACAAGACATGAATATAAACGCACTTTAAAACTTCAAGATTATACTCAAAATTCCATTTAAAATATACTCCTATTGGCATTGCCAATTCAACAGTTGCATCCCTTCACCATCATTGACAAATTACAGTTGGGAATTGGAATTCCATGTCTAGTATACCAAAAGAATTTGCCAAGAAATGCAAGTGTACTTTTTTGGAGAACATCTGCATAATTTCCCATTTGTTGCCTACCATAGAATCTTTAAAATTGAGTTCACATCTTGTCCGAACTTGGTACTGTTACAAACATAATTTGCCTCAATTTGATTAAAGGTGATAAAATATATAATTAAAAAGTTGATGAAAGTTGTGAATCATACGAAAAAAAAAGAGTTCGAGGAAAAATCAATTTCAAAAAATGGGGTCAAACATTTATTTGAACTAAATAATTTTTTTTTTTTCAGTATTACAATTAAGCTCAGGGACGTAGCCAGGATTTCAATCTTGCGGAACAAAAATACAGGGGGTGGAGCCCTCGATTTTTTTTTTAACTAGAAAGATTGAAAACGATGATTTTTAATACCAAAATAGGCAAGTGGAATTGATTGACCAAAAAGATAATCAATTTGTCGATACAAAAATAATATGTCTATCTATGTGTCTAACGCTATACAAATTGAAAACATGAACGTTAGATGGACATCTATATAACAAATGGTAGAGTTGGCCGGACATCTGAAAATGGTCTCTCATTGTCTTCGTCATCTCAAACTCGTCACTAAGAGAATCTCATAGGAAAGTATCAACAATCTCCTTCTCTAATGGAAAAGTATCAACGACCTCTGAATGCTATCCCTTGTAGTGCACACCATTTTATTGCATCAATGGATACTTGAACTTTCAATCGATTACTTGCAACCTTTATGGAGCTTTGCTTCTCAATAACTTTATTCACGTGTTGCAATGAATGGACCTGTGGGTATGCTTTTGGGTAATTTATTTATAAATGGGTCATTTGCTTTTGAATTGGATTTGGGCTATTTATTTATTTAAGTAACTATTTGATCTTTTGTTTAAATCTAAAATTTTTGTATGGTTGAATTTTAAAGAGTAAATTATTGAGTCAATATTTATTAATAGAAAAAAATTCAAATTTTTGTGAGGGCGAAACTAAAAAAAATATTACAAATTAATTAGGAATAATGGACCAGCGGACAATGTTGGAAGACCCTATCTTCGTCTCTGATTAAGCCCCTATTCGATAGCCGTTATTTTGAAAACCATAAATTGCGTATAATGTAAAATTCACTTAAGCACTTGTTTGATTGTCATTATTTGAAAACTTTTTTTCCCAACACTCATTTTTAATCATACTTTCACGCAATTAAATATTCAGCAAGTAAATTTAAAAATTTTCCATATTTTTTTAACCACACGCTTCTATAAATCACTATTCAAAATATTACCATCAAACATGGGATAAACATGTATTTCGTAAGTTAGAAATTTTGAGAATTATACTTCTTGTACATCACCCCTTATACAAGGGGTGACATAATGGCCAAGTGGCGCCTCCTCGTTGGAGGGGCGCTGAGGCCCCACATGTTTAAGGGGTGATGTACCCCTGGAAAGACCGAAATTTTGATTACGTTATTCAATTTCTTTTAAGTTATGGTAGGGATTAAATCGAATTGGCAATAGGGAGCAATGTTTGCTTCCTCCACATTCATTGTATCTAGACATTCCACACTATTCATCCCACAGCTTCGTCGAGTTGCCACGTAACATTACAATGACCGATGAACCGGTTTTGTTTTCACTGTATCAACTTTTTGAAAACAATCATTTTTTAAAATTAAATTTCAATAAGCTGCATTTTCTCATAGAATATTATTTCTTACTTTTTTGCATTTGAAAAACAATATATTTATCAAGCTCCTACGATGTGGCGCAACAAATTATAAAATAAATATCATTTGAAGTCATCTACTTATGGCGTGTTCGATAGATATTAAAATCAGATTAAAATTAAAAAAATGATCGTTATTGTTGACTTTTATTAAACGAGTGAAACTCAACAATGGCTATATTTTCAATTTTAATTAGATTTTAAACTTAGCCAAACATGCTCTTAGTCTCAATTTGACAGAGTTTTTTGAGATTATAAATTTGTGAGTCTTATAAAATATGTAATTAAAAATTGAATAAAAATTATGAATTCAACAAAATATATGGTTAAAATATGAAAATTAATCAATTTATAATTTAATAAAATTATATCAAACGGGACTTAATAAATAATATTTAACAAAAATAAAAAGAATTATTTCAAGCAAAAAGTTTACTAAAATATAATTTTACTAACACTAATTTACATTTTCACCTAAAAAACAAAGACTCGGTCGTGAAACGGACGAAACAACACGATTTTAATTCAAACTGTAGAAAATTGGATGAAAGGAACGGTTCCCCGGGCACCGTCAGCGAAATTCACTCTCCCCGACAGACACGCAGTCCACATATATATTTAGAAGAATAAAGGTATTTGTACAAAGCTATTTAGAACATTTTCTGTGAATGATCATTGCTGTTGATCCTTTTCTGACCTTTCTGTTTTTTGCCCCGTGCTCCCTTTTTCTTCGCAGAAAGAACCCTGATTCTGAGAAGGGATTTTCAAATTTCAGGAGGACATAAAAAAAAGAGAATAAATCACATGGCTGTAATGGAAGATATTGGAATGGATATCAGGTCTGATTTGTTTAATTTTTCTATAAACCCCCCCTAAAAGAAGAACTATACAATTCTATTCTATCCCGCTGTTTTTGAATTTTATTAATTTTTTGATTGATTTATATTCTTAAACTTCTTGGGTGTTTAGAATTATTATGGTTTTCGACATGAATAATTCTGTTGAATATTGAGGAGGTTATTTGGACTTTGGGTTGATGAAAATATTGTCGACCTGCCCTTTTCATTAAATAGTAATGGCGATTTTTATTGCTTTGAATAACTTTTTTCTGAATTTCATTTTCTGCAGTTCCTGTAATATTTGATTAATAGATTTTGCTTAGCAATCCAACATACAGGCTTGGATGTGAATTATTATGTTAATTAATGGTCGATTGTGGGATCATGTAGTTACAGGGAGTTTATATTTTTTATGCTTTGTATTTATTCTATAAATATAGGAGGAATTATTCGATTGTGTTTTTTAATGTTCACTGGTTTCTTTTAATTCGATTGTTTATTATTATTGTTAATTGTTTTGAAATGGAGATGATTGTGATACATTGCACGACAGTTCGGACATCGAAATCGATGATATAGGGATTGGTCAGAATATAGAGGAAAAAGATGTCAGTGATGAGGAGATTGAAGCCGAAGAATTGGAAAGGCGAATGTGGAAGGATCAAGTTAAACTCAAGAGGATCAAGGAAAGGCATAAGCTTGCAGCACGGCAAGCAGCAGAGAAGCAAAAGGCCAAGTCGACCACTGATCAAGCACGCCGGAAGAAGATGGCACGAGCTCAAGATGGGATTTTGAAGTACATGTTGAAGCTCATGGAAGTCTGCAAGGCTCGTGGATTTGTGTATGGTATTATCCCCGAGAAAGGTAAGCCTGTTAGTGGTTCATCAGATAATTTAAGAGCTTGGTGGAAGGAAAAGGTGAAGTTTGACAAGAATGGGCCTGCAGCCATTGCTAAGTATGAGGCTGAGTGCCTTGCGAGGAAAGATGGAGATGGTAATTATAATGGAACCTCACAGAGTGTGCTTCCAGACTTGCAAGATGCGACATTGGGATCACTTTTGTCTTCCCTGATGCAACATTGCAATCCAGCGCAAAGGAAGTATCCGCTTGAGAAGGGCACCCCTCCACCTTGGTGGCCAACTGGAAATGAGGAATGGTGGACAAGATTGGGATTGCCCAAGGGTCAAACTCCCCCATATAAGAAGCCCCATGATTTGAAAAAGATGTGGAAAGTTGGGGTGCTGACTGCTGTTATAAAGCACATGTCACCTGATATTGCTAAGATCAGGAAACTAGTCAGGCAGTCAAAGTGTTTACAGGACAAAATGACTGCCAAAGAGAGTGCAATTTGGTTGGGTGTTTTGAGCAGGGAGGAAGCATTCATCCGGCAGCCTAGCAGTGATAATGGTTCATCTAGCATAAATGAGGCACATTTAAGAAGCCGTGGCGAAAAGAGGAAACCTTCTTTTAGCAGTGGTAGCGACTATGATGTTGATGATGGACCAGGATCTGTTACATCAAGAGATGATCAAGAACAACAATCAATGGATGTTGTGCCTTTTGAACCTCCTGTTCATGTTACTCCACTGGCCAAATTAAAGGAACGAGGTAGGGAACAATCCAGGAAAAGAAAACACCAAAAATTTACCCGTGGTAACAAACAGGCTGTACCATCTCTCAATGAACATTCTCATGATGATCCTGGAGACACACTGATGGATGTAAGACCCTCTGATGTACAGTTACCGAGATACCTGACAAATGAGAGCCAGCCAGAAAATGATGGAATAACAGCGATGAGACCTCAAGGGAATAATGTTGACGATCAACCCTGCTTTCTGGATTCTGATTTTGACATTTTTTGTGCCTTTCCTTCTGCCAATCCCACCACCACTCAAACTGCGTCAACGGCTGATGGATCCTTACTGTATCCAGTGGCAGAAAATTCTGATTTTGAAAATTGTGATGTTCAATTAAGCCATGCACCTGAAAATACTGTGTTGCCTGCTCATCTTTCTAAGTTGAACTTAAAACCTCAAAGTTCTGTGTTGCCTCATGGACTGGACAGCCTGGAGTTGTGTCATGGAGGTCCAAATTCTGTTTGGCAGTCTGGACCTCAAGATTCCATTCTACCTCGGGGATCTCAGAATTCCACACATAATTTTTATGATCAATCAAAAGCAGTTGGTTTAAGTCAGGAAGGACAGCAATCTGAGGCAGCATATAATCAGATGGAGCACAGACTAGGGGATTCTGGTATTAGTTTACCAGCACTATCGAGGAATGGAAGTGCTATTACTGGTGGAGAGCTCCCCCATTATGTAAAAGATGTATTTCCGACTGAGCCAGATAGGCCTGTAGACACAAGTTTTCCATCTCTCCCTAGCTTTTCACCCGACTACACTGGACACAGTTCGTTTAGTCTTGAAATTGATGGCACAGGATCTGGTGTTGATGAAGCTGATTTTGATGAACTGATGAAATACTTTGCATCATAAGCTGTCATACTTGCTGCTTCTGGATTTAGGTTGTGAGTCAGTTGTTCACAATTTAGACTATTTTTCCCTAATTTATGCTCCCCTCTCATCACACACATGCATATGGTGTAGTATTATTGAATAATGCCAATTTTTAAGTAGACAGGGAATGGTGGTATTTAATGGAGGTGGATGAGTTTTTCCTCTCAATTGGATTTGTTGCTGGATTTAGTATTTTGTGGATGTTTTGATGGTAAGTTGTAAATTCACTTTATTACCATCTTCTTTCAGCCACTCAGCTGCAAGTTTAATTATCAGAATCATCATTCTTTGGGTTAATCTTAGCACTACCCTGTAATCCTGGAGACCTTTAATACATGTAAATGAGCAAACTGCTGGATTGCCGAATGTCACAATCTAGTAGTACTGTTTTTATACTACTGAACAAATGGAAGATCGACTGAATATGATTAAGGCAGTTTATTGTCCTTATGAATATCAGGATTATTTGCAGTTCTTAACGTTTTTTATTATTTTCCTTTGATACTATTGCCCAATGCAGACTGATTTGTTGCCTTCACGACTCATATGGCCAGATTTCTTCTTCTTTTTTTACTATTTAATAGTCTTGAATCTGCACTTTGATATTTCTCTTCTATTTATATGAGCACATTCTGCTATTCTTTGGAATTTCGTCAGATGTAGTTTTGATAATCTTTCACGTAAAGATCCATATCCTGAGAATAATAAATGCATGTATTTTTCTTAAGAGAATAATTGACAGCAACGTGAATGTTGTCATTGTCCTTTTCCTCATCTAATTAGATGGTGGATATTTGTTCCTGCGAAGAAAAATTGTTGGAGATGCTGGTAGCCAAATTGGCTGGTTTTATTGGTCCATCAGCGCCGGATATTCAATTAAATAAAATTAAAGAGGAGGCCACATTGTTTGTCCGAGGAATGGATTGCCCAACATCCTTTACAGAGGTCTGACACGCTGCCAACAAGGCTGAGCTCATTTTTTCCGTGTACAAGGTGACTTCCTTGGGTATCTGTCACAGTTCCCTGATTTGTTCACTCCAGATTTGATCTGACTTGTTAGATGTAACATATTACTATCTTTTTGTTGAATTTTGGTGTAGCCGAGAGATAAAAGAACTAGCCCAAAAATTTACCTTGAAATATTTGCTACAAATAATAAAATGATGATATCTTAGTAATTTTATATATTCTTTACTGATTTAAGTACAATCTATTATACTGGTCCAACTGGTGACTTGAACCCACCATATCAATATCTGGTGCGGTTTCAATAAGAATGACACGAACCACAGTTCTCCATGGGTGTTGCTTGTTTGGGATTTGGAAAGTTAAAAGACTTGTATGTACTGAATTGGAAAGTATCGAGTTGAGCTTAAGCTGTTAATTGAATATTGCACAGTGATAGAAGATGGCAATAATTAGCACAAGGATTTTTTATAGCTGTCGAGAGGCCTTCTATGACCGATGTAAAAGCTTTTCGCATCCTATTCAGAGGGGAACAGTTAAGGTTTTTATGATTTCTCTCTTTATGAAGTGATGAAGATTCTTGGTAGTATATTCTACTTCTCACAGTGAAACTCTGCTTCCTTGATCATACCCAATCTTCTTGTGCCAATTCAATTACTAAAGTGTACAATTAAGCTTGTTAGGATCCTACAATGCTGATTATGAAGTCGTGATATATATGACTGATTATCTTTGAATTTGTGTCATACAATGTATAGAATATACATTGCATACAAGTATTCATGAATTCCAAGCCATTTAACATCAAATTAAGCAAAGTTTTCTTATTTTTTTGTAAAATTAAAATCTACTTTATGTTTAATAATAAAGTAGATTTAACATTTTAATTACGAGGACACTATATTTTCTCTCACGACTCATATGCATGCAGTATGTGCAGCAGTAAGAAAGTCATCCATGGCTTCCATTGAAGCCCCTTTGCTACCTCCCTTAATAATCTCCATAACCTTTGACACTTTTCTTCTCATCAAATCCCCTCCAGTTCCTTCTCCCATCACCAATTCTATCTTCTCCATAATCTCGCTACTTTCAACGTGGCTATGTCCATTTGCGACTCCAACACAAACTCCCAATTCTTCCTCCAACATATGTGCATTGAATGGCTGCTCAGCACCCATAGGCCATGCTAGCATTGGGACGCCATTACTAAGAGCTTCTATACATGAATTCCATCCGCAGTGGCTCAAAAATGCACCAACAGATTTGTGGGACAAAATTTCCATCTGGGGTGCCCATTTTTTCAGAAGTAAACCCCTTTCGCTGTTCTTAATCCTTTCCTCAAAACCTTCAGGAAGCCACTCTTTATTTGTGCATTCTGAATCTGTTACAAAGCTTGAAGGTGGCCTATAAGCCCAAAGAAAATTGACGTTACTAGCCTCAAGCGCTTTGGCCAGTTCCTTTGTTTGAGCTTCAGACGGAGAACTCTGTGAACCAAAGGCCACATAAAGAACTGAGTTCGTCGCCTTTTTATCAAGCCATTTCATGCAATGTTTCATTGTAGCTTCTGCTGCTTCTCCCCCACGTGATTTGCTACCTGCAGACGAAAGAATAGGCCCTATAGGATATACAGAACAATTCGGAAACTGTTCCCTGAAATACGTCAATCCTGTGTTATCAATGTCCTCTATCGTGTTGAACAACATTGCATGGGTCTTTAACCAATCTTTGAACATTTCATTTACAAATGCCCAGGGACCCTTGCACTCTCTAAGATGTACTGGCAGATTTTTGGTCTTAAACCTGTAACCCCGAGGGAAACCAGGGAGGGGAAACTCCTCAGAGGTTGATTTCAACTGAGGCAGATTCAACCATGCAGTGTGCAAAACAGCCATGCCATAACCTCCACCAGCATTAAAGATTGCATGGAATATGCCAAATTCGTGAGCAACCTCGGCCGACCAGGCAAAAAAAATGTCTGAAATTATACAAAGAGGCAGCCTACCATTATCCTCCTCGATGAGACGGGAAACAAGATTCGTGAAGGCAGGTTTTAACGAAGGAGATGACTCGATAAGGCGAAGCATGAGTAGGAGAGGTAGAGTTTCGGTGGATTCAGAGTTTGGAGGAAGGCCATGTTCTGTGCTGTCGAAAGGAATTTCGACTAGTCGAATGTTTGAAAATTTAGGGATGCAATCTCGAAGTTTCTTGATATTGAGAGGGGAGTTTACAAAGGTTATTTCATAGCCTTTTTCTTGTTCTAGTTTAAGTGCCAATGACAAGAAAGGGATGATATGGCCTTGTGCCATGAATGGGAAAACAATTATGTTTTCCTTTGGAGCCATTAATTCTTTAACAAGAAGAGGAAAAAGTTGGTGCAAGTTTAAGCCCTTAGTTTGTATATATTTATAGGGTTTCGTTCCTTGAAAAAATCTACAATGGAAAAAGGATCTTCATTGATTTGCATTCCATTTATACATGCGAATTAGAATAGTAACTCCAGGATTGTGTGGAACATGACTATATTTAATTGTAGCATTCCAATATATTGTGTAATAAATAAAATAAAAAAGCAATCATTATTACAAAATTATACTCTCTCCGTCCCAATTATATAGGCTTGTTTCGTTTTTCACACGAATTAAGAAAGTTTCTTTAATGTCATTGAAAAATTATTTTTTGTCAAGATCTTTCCTAATTTACCCCTATTTAATTTTCAGTATGTAAAACTAAAGAATAATGCTACTTGCAGTCGCTCACTGCAACAGTCGCCCTATGTGGCACACACATGTCAAGTGTGTATTTGATGCATTAAATGTGATCAAAAACTACCACATTAATGCATCAAAATAATTACATGTCATGTGTGTGCCACATAAAGTGACTGCAAGTAGTATTACTCAAAACTAAATTATTGTTGGAATTAATAAAGAATTTGAAGAAGAGGAAATGAGAGTTGTTCCATGTTTCCAAGAAGTGAGAAGTGTGTGTATTTGGATGGTTTCAATAAGTTGACATATTAAGTAGAGAAAATTTAATAAGGGTATATTGGTAAAAAAATACGACAAAATATTCTATGTTAAGAAACATGTATATATATTTGGGACACGAGAAAAAGGAAACGCAGCCTATATAATTGGGACGGGAGAGTATTTCCTTATTATAATTCGAGTTTAATTAATTAATAACGAATAAGTCAAATAACCTAGTTTCCTTAATCTGACCTTTCAAGTTGGGTTGGAATTTATGATCAATTTCAATGTGTTGAAAACTAATCTTCTTTAGATGCCAGTCTAGCTTGCACCACATGAAGGGAAAGAAAGGTGGTGCTATTCACATCTTCACTTATTGATGCCATTCTTTGTCAACGTTCCCAATTAATATGCAAAAATATCTCAATACTATTTTGCAACGTGACTGTACTATGAACTTACGAAATAAAACATACTTTTAAGCAGGGGCGGAGCCAACCGTTTGAAGTAGGGGGTCTCAGAATTGAAGATATAAAGATGAAGGGGTGGGGGGCCACGAGGGTTCACTCCTGAAATTTTTTTTTTTTTTGATACCTTATTAACAAAAAAAACTAAAAAACATATAAAAGAAAGTACAAATATTTAATTTAGCAAAATCATACATTATTACAAGTGTTCCTTTCGAGTTCTCATACATTGAAGATGGAAACGAAAAATGAAATTGATAGGGTTTAAGATTTTTATTCAATTTGACCCCGAATTTTTTTTTTTAATACCTTATTAACAAAAAAAAAAAAAAANTATAAAAGAAAGTACAAATATTTAATTTAGCAAAGTCATACATTATTACAAGTGTTCCTTTCGAGTTCTCATACTTTAAAGACGGAAACGAAAAATGAAATTGGTAGGGTTTAAGATTTTTATTCAATTTGAGAACAAAAATGGTAATGGTAAATAGAAAAAGAAAAAATAAAATGTCAAAATTGCCCCCTCCGAAAGACCCCCCAGCTCCGCCCGTGCTTTTAAGGGACCTTTGATTGCCAA